CTTGTAATAATTGTGACTGCTCGATTAATTTTTTAAATGCATGTTCATCAGCTCTTGTATTTAAATGATCAATAAGTGACGTTGTGGGTTGTAATTTAAATTTTCGATAGCGTATTTCCATGAGTAATGCTTAGTGATCCGGTCATATATGAACTAATCGAGAACTAAGGCAGACATTTCATGTAAGGTCACTGTCTTAATGTGTATCCCTATTGTGAACGTTTAATACACAAACGATTATAATGAATGAACGTTGTTGTCCGTGTGGTGCTCGTCTTGACGGCAGTTCTTGTGTCCGACCACTGAAATCTCCATGCCTCAGAACGTTTATGTCTATTCGTACTCTTAAATCACTTTCTAACGATCAAAAAGTGTGCAATGTTTGCCGACATTCATACATCAAGTAGAAAAGTGAAAATTCAGAATTCTCTGCAATACTTGATCATTTCGAAAATGATATGGTAGTGATCAATGATGATGCGAATAGTGATTCGGTAATTTGTTTTTATATGATTGTATTTGTGTTGATTTTTTGTTTTTAAGTATGAGTCTATGAACGTTCAGGTTCAAACTGATGATTCGTCTCGTTTAACAACTGTGGAAAATCCAACTTTGATTACAACTACAAATCATCAAGTAGTTAAGTTACAGCTAAATGCGACTTCCTCTTTCCATACAACGTCCCCCGCCCTTTGAGATATCAGCACTTGCTTGTGTTATGTTAGTCGTTCATCGATTATAATCTTCTTCTTTTTACATTATCACAAGAAATAATAATCTCCTTCTTCAAACACTAACACTGGCTTAAATAGAACAGATATGAGAAGAAGAATGGAATGATTGTAAGCGTGATGGAATGAAACTAAAGGAAAAAAGAGAGAACATATTTATGGCAGGGCAGTGACTACATTCGATCAGCTTTAATTCGAGCTGTTTGTTATTGTTCGTCAGTCGAAGATTTTAATCTCGAGCGTATTTATCTTAAATTAACTTATCTTACCAATGCTTACTCATTACATTTGTTGAAATTCATGTGTAACATATTTTTTGTTTTTTTCATCTTCATTCAATGTGCTATTCAAGAGATCAAATCGTTCATGACAAATTTCGTCATAACTGATTCAATTGTATTAAGACGTAAAACAAACTTTCTGATCAACTTCAACAATTTGATGATAAGGGTCAGTTAATTCAATCAACATCCAAATTTATCAATACAGAAGTGCAAAATTCTACTAACGATGATAAACGTACAGTCTGCAAATGTTCTATTATCTAACCAGAAATCAATGGTATCATGGATTGTTTTGAATATATGTATCGCAGTAAAATGTACGATATTGATATTAGTTATAAATAAAAAACATTGTTTATTGTTTTGNACCCCCCATAATAGAAGCCCCCTCAAGAGAGGTCGATATGAAAACGAATTAGAAGTCTTGGGCTTGTATTTATTTAATAATACATTTTTTTTGTCTATCAAGATAAAACTTCACAGATTTTCGTGAGATTATTTGAAGTTCATTGAAATAATGACTCTCTTACAAGGGGAAAACAGCTGAAATCTGATTTTTCTTATTTTCTTGATATAAAATCAATTGATTTAAAATTTGAAAAAATAGAAAAAGTAAAAAAGGTACCAAAAACTTAAAAGTTTTAAAAATTCAAAAATTTTAGAAACTTAAAAATCAGAAAAAACGCTGAAAAGACTAGAAAAATCAAACCTTGAAAAAGTTACAGAAATAAAAAGATCTACTTCAGCTTAAATTCATGTTCTATCCGAAAATAGCATTAGTAGCCCTCCCTTAATAGAAGCCCCCTTAAAAAAATTTGTGCGGTTGACAAATTAGAAGCCCCCGGGGGTTTCTATTTTTTTTTGGGGGGGGGGGGGGGGGGGTTAGGGACCGTTTACTGAACCTTTTAAGGTTCTAGATTTGGGTACCATTTTCAGAATCATTTAAGGTTCAAGCAAAATCTGGTTCTTGCTGGAACTTTTTCCTATTTCTTCCAAAAATGGTTCTAGAGTGGCAAAATGTAGTCCCTCACACTCAATTACTCTAGTACTCACCACTAATGCTATATCCAGCCGTTAATTTAATATTTAACCCCTTATTTCTATCCCTAACCTAAATTCTAACCTTCACCTAAATTCTATGCTTAACCCTAATTTCTATCCTTAACCCTTAATTCTAACCTTCACCTAAATTCTATCGTTAACCACTATTTCTATCCTTAACCTAACTTGTAACTTAAATCTTTAATCATACCCTTAGCCCTCATTTTTATGCTAAACCACTAAATCGTATGTGTTATATTTACCTGGATTTGTTGTGAGCAGAATACGAGCCAGCCCTTTCTCCTTTATTCCCACGAAAGGGGAATCACCGTTACTTGTTGTTCAGACGATCCTAAACAAAAAATAAGAGGAGTGACTGATTGTGTAAGATTTAACTTATCATAAGATCAATTATTCACATATACCTAAATAGAAAAAAACATTAATTCATTTTATCATATTGAACTTGCATTTCAATTGATTATTGCTACATGCCTAAATAAAGAACTCATTGAATCCATTTTACCAGATTGATATTACTTTCTATTGATAATTGTGATATATGAAAATAGATAAAAAAATAAGCGCATTTTATAAGTTATAACTTACTATAGAAGTGATTATTGAGACGCACCAACTCATACCCATCAATCCGACTCAGATTCCTGGGTCTCAATAACCTATTTCAAACTGCGACCAGAATTGAAATCGAAGTTGAAATGAAATGTCTAATTTTACAGCCACGCAATTTTTGATGGACCTAATATCTGACCGATGGGAGCTCAGATCGAAAAAATAATAGCGGATTCGGAATCCTCGACCTCAATAACCTATTTGAGATTGCATATACTACTTAGGTCACGTTCCGAAAATATAATATCTTGCTTCAAGCCAGAACCATCTTTGGAAAAGTGGTTCAGCATCAAAATAAAGGGTGCAGGACGGGACCTTTTCAAATATCTTTATCTATTGAGGATCTGACATGGTTCTTTAAACCAGCTAGAATCGTCGATGGTTTATTAATAAATGAGTGAAACCTTAACAGGTTCAGTATCTTGGCTAGAACCATAAATAGTTCCATATGACACCTTTGTTTTTTTGAGAGTATAATAGAAAACTGTTATGGAACATTTTCTAGATCAATTTCTAATTATCACTTTTCTTTCTATAAAACTTGAGTGACTATTTCATCTTCATCAAACAACAAGTAAATCATTTATTATTTTTTCTTACAAAGAAGAGCTCTTCGAAAAAGTCAACTAAATACTGACTTACTTATATTGCCAGTATTTACTCTATTAAATAATTATAATATTTATCTTATAAATCGATCAACATCTGCTATCCTTTTGCATAATTTAAGTGAGCTACTAGCCGGAAAAATAACCGAATTTACTATTGACACAGAGCATGCTTATTATACAACAAAAACAGTAGTATTATTGATTGAAATACATCATTTGCCGTATCAGAGCTCTACATTATTCTGGTTGATAAAATCAGTTTTAAAGGTGATATTTAATTCAATCAATCTTTGATTTTCATGGGGTAATGCTAAGAGTCAATTAAAACAATTGATACCATATGAACTTCTCGCATCAGAAAGACTACATCAAATAAATGATATCGATATACAAAAAAAAACTTTAAAAATTGGCATAATAATATACTAAAGCAAAAATGTGGTGTTCGATCAATATTTAATACTGATAATATGCTACATAACGTACAGTCTTCACGTTCAACGAGTTCCTCGAAAAAAGTCTAGAAAAAAGCAATAGGAGCCATAATCTTGATCCTGAATTTATAAATAGATTCTATGGACTAAATCTGAAAGAAGAAAAAACAAATCTTCCATGTCTTTTAGGTTGATCGCTTGTATTTTTTCATTGAATATCTGAATCAAAATAAATACAAACGTATGAAATATATAGCTCTTTTCTTTCACTTGCATTCCTTCTTGTTATTGCAGATATCTTCTATAATATGTAAATCTTTTTTGAGAAACAATGTCAAAGTCTTCACAAGATCAATATCGAAAGAAAACAACCAGTAATATTAAGCAGTTAATCTTTCATTTTCAGTCGACACCATTTTCGATTCTTCTAGATAACTTTTCTGTAAAACAAGAAAATAGTGATCAGCAACATTCATCATCTATTCAAATAAATTTAAAAGAAAACATATCTATGATTATAATGTGATGATATTTACTGTCTCTCTTGTCTGGTCATCTTCATCATCGAATGCTACTTCAACAAAATCATCTGCACTAAGAGAAAAAGAAAATTTAATTCATAGTCAAACATTCCAAGCAACCAACGAGATACAAAATTTGGCGAATCTTTTGAGCTGTTTTATTAGAATAAAACGGTATCAGGTAAAAAGTCTATATGATAAATAGAAAACAACCGCTATTTTTCACTTGCTTTCTAAAAATTTCATTTCAGGTGGATAAAGATATTTGCACTCCCGGTAAAAATCTTGAAGGGAATCTTGAGCTTCAAGCGCAAGCAGCTGAAAAGGAAGAACGCAATACCACATGCTCACAGCCGCTAAATTTTGATACAATAGAGATAACGTCATCAATTCATTGAGATATTCATTTCTATAACTATTTTGGTGTGCAGTGTAGATATCAGACTAAATCATCATGTTTTTGTGCTCCTATATGTCTTTCTTTTTCTTACTTTATCTATTTTCCATATCACTATTGCTCCTATCATTTTGTTTTGCTACATATTCTCTGTTTTACTATTGATCTATTGATATATCCGTGTTATTTTTACATGACATAAAAGTTCACTGCAACAGAATACCAACTGTTCACATAGTTTGTCCACATCGAATTTCGCTGATGATGGAAGTAAAATATTTTATGGTGTATGCATTTTGCCAAATGCACCATATTCATTGCCTACTTGCAATTCAGTTGTACCGATAGATCTTCCTTCTACAATGGGAAGAACAACAGCAGGAATTATTCCATATTTAGTTTTTTTTCAGGCGTTGGTATAGCCATCTACGAAAGAGTAAATGGATAAGAATTTTCGTTCAGAAACCCTGCTAGAGTTTACACGCTCTGTTAGTAAATATAATTTATTTGTGTGTGTGAGTGTTATTGTTGCGCGTTTTTATGGAACTAATTGAAATTACCTACACTTATACCCACACTCCTTTATTTATTCTAGATATAAATCTAGTCTTTAACTGAATAATCGTTAAATGAACCAGAGCAACGACAAATGTAACATATTCATGAAAGTGATATGCTGTTGCTGAATCGTCCACATGACAGAATGGAAGTGATATCACCAACAGAGATAAGTGCTGAAGAATCAATAGATATTCACAATAAAAAGTATAAATGTCATGGAAATAAGAAATTAGTTTCAAACGAAAATGGAGAGCACGAGTTTGAATGAATTAGAGATCATTACACATTTAACAAATCATTAAAAGAGTCGATGATGAATGATCAAATAAAAACATTAAATAAACGAAAGAAAACCTCATCAAAACAAAAATTAACAAATAAATCTAAGATATCAATGAGCCAATCATCTATATCACAAGGAATATTTAAAAAAAATGAAGAGTTTTCATATTGAAATGAAATCATCCATTCATGATAATAGGGATCGGTTGAATGAAAATGATGATATTTCTTTTTATAGGTCATCACGATACTTAAAGATGCCATGAAAATTACTTTTGCATTCATTACGTCTTCAATTAAATTGGTCTATGAAAAGAAAAAAAAACAGCGATTTACACTATCACGACTTGAAGTATTTGACAAGCAATGTTGTCTTTATCAAATTCATCATTTATATCAAAATTATCAGATCTGACCAGTCAATTGTATATACTTTCTCTCAGTTCATACAATAGTATTGTTTTCATTTCCAGCATGACATAGTTCAGATAATACAAT